TGTCAAAGATCAACTATGTAGAGGTGGATGGATTTACATCTGGATCCTCAGTTTGTTTCCATTGATGTATGCACCTGTCCCTGTACAAGTACCAGACTGTCCGACTAATACGGCTGTATAACAGGTTTTGGGATTGGGCACTGTGAAATCTACTTTGTTCTTCTTCTTCAGGAGTGCTTTGTTTATGTAGGATTCCTTTCCTTTCCATATGAAGGTAATGATTAAAAAAATGAAAAGAATGATGATAGATTCTTGGTCAAGACTACATGACATCTACAGATCACATTCAGTAATATTAATGTTCACATTAAGTCTTCCTTTCCATGAGCATCATATGTTTGTTTTTCCATTTATGTATGTCTCTTTTGGCTTTACACAGAAGTGTTTTGTAGTTTTCATAGTATAAGTCTTTTGTGTTTCTGTTTATGTTTATTCAAAAATATTTCATCTTTTGAGTACTAATTTTAATACCCAAAGATGGTATCCTTCTCCTGATTTTCTTTTCAGATCTTTTTTTTTGTTAATGTGAGAAATTAAACTGCTTTTTGGCATATTGATTAGGTACTTTGCTGAATCCTCCTATTAATTCCAATACTACCTTGTTGAGTCTATGATATTTTCTATGTATAGGATCATATCACCTGCAAAAACAGGTAATTTTATTTCTTCATCTATTTGGATGCCTTTCTCTCTTCCTTTCTTGCATTATTACTTTCTCTAAGATATCTAATGCAATGCTAAAAAGGAGTAGGGACAGAGTATCTTTTTCTGGTTCTTGTTTGCAAGAAGAATACTTTCTATTTCTTGCCATTGAGAATAATATAGATTGTTAATTTTGTGAATATAAGTTGTGTAAGCTTTGTGTATACCCTTAATTATTTTGAGTATAGGGACACTTTAGCAGTATTGGTGACTAGCTTTTCTTGTCATACTGTTGATAATAGGTTTCACTGGGTCAACCCTGACTCCCAGTGACCCTATATATAACAGATGTGCCATCTCAGAACCAACGTACTGTCTTTAAGTCTATTTTTGCAGTTCTTGTATTAACCCTTTCCTTGATGGTCTTTCTGTCTGTCACCGACCTTCTAGTTTGCCAAGCGAGGCTTTCTTTTCCTAGACTGGCCACTTCTGGTAACACAACTAAAGTATGTGAGGCCAAGTCCCACCATCTTTGCCTCTAAGGAGCATCCTGACTTCTTCCAAAATAAGTTTATTTGTTCTTTGGGCAGTTCATGGCTTATTCTTTGTCAACACTACAGTTCAAAGTCATCAATTCTTCTTTGGTCTTCCTTGTTCATTTGTCCTATTTTCACATGCATATGAAGCAATTGCAAATACTATGGCTTAAATCAGTCATGAAACTGACATTCTTGCTCTTTAGCACTCAGAAGAGGTTCTTAACAGCAGATTTCCCTGTGCAATGTGCCATTTGATTTCTTTAACACTGCCATGGACATTGATGTGGATCCACGTAAAATGAAATCCTGACAACATGAGTCATTTATTCATTTTTCATAATGTTGCTTGTTCAGTTGTGAGGATTTGCATTTTCATTATGTTGAGATGTAGTCCGTACTGAAGGTTATATATACTATTTGGTCTTCTTCAGTAAGTGCTTCAGTTCTCTTTCTTTTCCATGAATAAGGCTGTGCCATGTACATGACACAGGGTGTTTATGAGTCTTCTTCTACTCCTTCCAGTTACAGTGACTACATACTCAAGGCAGTTTTAATTAGGATATAGAGTTTCAAGTGGAAAAGTCTTTTATTAATGGCAATGGTCCCTGTGTACTTGCTTTGAAGGTGAAATCAAGCATCTTTTCATCCCTGGTGTGCTTTGTACTGCTCCCTTGTGCATTTTAGGTGGAATTTCTTCTGAGTTTTATCCTTAAGATTATCTCAGTTCTTATTCTTGTTTATCCTTTGCTTACTACTAACTTTTCATGCTTCCATGAATCATCTGTCCTAACCAAGTACAACTTCATCATAAAGAAGTTTGTCAGGAAATAAACTCTAAAAGGGGTCTTTAGAGACTGCTCTCAGTTTATTAAACAACTTTTATGCAAAAAAAGAGAAGAAATGCTGAAGGTAAAGAAATAAACAGAAGATTTCAAAGGGCAACTTGAGAGATACAGTACATTATTGTAGTGAAATGTGCATTAAAAAAAGTACAGTAGTTAGGAAATAAAAATGGAAGAACACATTTGATATTTCTCTAGCTGCAAGAACTGAAGAATAAATTTAAGCCTGGAGCCGCATCAACCACAATCTTGGATTTTCTTTGAGCATCTCTGATGTCTATTTGGTTGATAGTATCTATTGCAATCCATACATTTCTCCAGTAGGGGCCTTGGGATGTACTGTGCAGAGATACACACTCAAGTTCTCTAAGCATGATCAAATTCCAGAATCTTGGTGATAATTTATTATTTTTTTTTCAATTTAGTTTACTAGTTTTAATGAACATTTACAGAGATTTTAGATTTCCATTCATTCATTGGATAATTTATTATTTATTGCTTTCCTTCCTTTTATTTTCTTTCTCTTTTCTGCTTCTTTATGTATCTACTTAGTTCTCAATACACTAATTTTTAAGAATAATTTTAGTTTCACAGGAAAATTTAGGAGAAATGTCAGAGAATTTTAGTGTGCCACCTACCCCCCACCATTTATCACATTATTTAATTCTTGCATTAGTGTGGTTAATTTGTCACAATTAATAAACCAGTATTGCTACATTATTATTAATGATCAACTAGAGTCCATTGATTGACATTAGCGTTCACTTTTGGTGTATAATCTTATGGGTTTGACAAACGCATGATGCAGTGTGTTCACCATTACAGTCACATTGAATAGTTTCACTGTCTTCAAGAAATATCCTATGCCTCACATGCTCCCCTAATCTCTGACTTCCCCTATTTTTTAAAATTTCCTATAGTTTGTTTCTTCTAAAAGATTAAATAATTGTAATACATAATATTTAAACTTTTTGTTTAAGTTGTCCTTTTACATTTAGCAATGTGCATTCATGTTTCATGTTTTTCCATAGCTGAAGAGGTTATTTCTTTTTTCTCCCCCATTTTTTCTTTTTTTATGAATAGTATTCCATTGTATGAATTCACCATAGTAGTTTATCCGCTTATTTGCTGAAAGAAATCTTATTCATGCGTAAGTTTTGACAATTCTGAATAAAACTGCTATGAACTTTCATAAAACAGTTTTGTGTGACATAGGTTTCTGACCCCTTTGAGTAAATACCAAGAAGTGCAATTACTAGATAATCTGTTAAATTTAGCTATGTAAGAAATGATCACACTCTCTTCAGGAGTAGAAGTACCATTTTTGCATTCCCATTAGCATCACCATTTTTTTTATTATTATTATTACATTTTATTAATTTTAATGAACATTTACAGGGATTTTGGGTCTTCACTCCTTCACTGCTGCACCATTTTCTCTACCCTCCTCCCCAGTTTTTTCTTCTTCCCCCGCCATCCGAATGTCTGTTTTAATTGTCCAATTGCCACAGTGCTTGTCAAAGTCAGTTCTGATTAATCTCCTTTGTCAGTGTGTCCTTTGCCATTCCCTATCACTCCTCCCTGAGAGAGACTTCACCCTGAGTCATAAGGAAAAGGGGATGGCGTATTGTCTTAGCTACTTCCTGCTGAAAAGGGACGCTGTGGGTTTCAGGGTGAAGATCTTCTCTCACTACTCTAAAGGGCCCCTTTGGCAGTAGGAAACACATAGACTATTATGGAGATTGATTTTGGAATTTATATGCACTGTTATTAATTGTGCTTAGCTGTACATGTTCATATCCTTGAAGATGTATCATGGGGGGGTTGCAACCTAGAAGACATAAATTTAACTAACAAGTTATAAGTACATGAGTCAAAAATTATGGAAAAGTAAAAGAAAAGATTCTTTCATTGTTTTACAAACCCTCCCCCAGGTCCCCTCCACCATGGAGCCATCACCGAGCGTCACCATTCATGTAGCCTTATGTCATTGCCAGCGTTTGGTTTTGTCAAGTGTGATAAATAAGTCTCATGTTTAATTTTAATTCATTAGTTTTCTTTGAACTTGTTGCTAATACATTCTATACTTTCCAGGTTTATCAGTAAAATTTTATGCAAGAACATGCACACCAAGAATATATTTATTCTAACTTTTCCTTTTAGATATATTTTTCTACTTCCTTCTCCCCTTATCCCAATCATTCAAATGCCATCCTCATTTTTTAAAATTATTTAATATTGATTTACTTATAAAGTTTGTATACATTGTGTTTCACACTATTCTTCACTCACATTGTGTTTTATACATAAACTCTGGTGTGTCCACTTGCTGTACAGAGGTAACTTGTGGTTGCTGTGAAGCTGAACACTGTGACAATGATGTGTCAAATGCGATAATGGTTACCCCTGGTGGACAGTGCTTGGTGGCATTCCCCGGTTGAAACAAACTTGGAAGCAGGAGTGGCATACACTTCTGTAATAGCTTGCCTCTGGAAACCCTATGAACCTGGACAAAGGATGAAAGTCATGCAAGTGTCGAGGACTATCGTTCATAGGGTCGCTATGAGTCGCCTACGACTCAACGGCACTTAACAACAACAACCCCATTCATTATGTTTGTTTGGGTTTTTTTTTTGCAGAACACTCTTTTAATTGTAATTAACTACATTTTCATATCTTCACAGTGATATAAAACACAGTCACTTATAGAACTGGCTCCGATTACTTAAATACCAGATACATTTTAGTCTTCTACATAAGTGTTTGGAAGTTACTTATGTTTATATGAAATGAAGTTATTAATACTTTTCTACAGCAGTAACTGCACACTAGAAAGGCCAAGAAAAACACAAATCAAGGAATGGAGTCTTCCCAAAGTTGCAGTGTGAAAAGACTATAAACAGTTGATTCCATACACATGAATGAGTTTCTTTGCTATAGGAAATCCAAGTGGAATAAGAAATGGAGATGTAGTGAGCGCCGCATCCCCTGCCTGCTGCCGTGGCTGCCTACCAGCTCGTGCTCATCTGCCATGGCGAGAGCGCCTGGAACCTGGAGAACCGCTTCAGCGGCTGGTACAACACCGACCTGAGCCCGGCGGAGCACGACGAGGCCAAGTGCGGTGGACAAGCGCTGCGAGATGCTGGCTATGAGTTTGACATCTGCTTCACCTCAGTGCAGAAGAGAGCGATCCGGACGCTCTGGACAGTACTGGACGCCATTGACCAGATGTGGCTGCCAGTAGTGAGGACTTGGCGCCTCAATGAGCAGCATTATGGAGGTCTGACTGGCCTCAATAAAGCAGAAACTGCTGCCAAGCATGGTGAGGCCCAGGTAAAGATCTGGAGGCGCTCCTATGACGTCCCACCACCACCGATGGAGCCTGACCACCCCTTCTACAGCAACATCAGTAAGGATCGCAGGTATGCAGACCTGACTGAAGATCAGTTGCCCTCCTGTGAGAGTCTGAAGGACACTATTGCCAGAGCCCTGCCCTTTTGGAATGAAGAAATAGTTCCTCAGATCAAGGAGGGGAAGCAAGTACTGATTGCAGCCCATGGCAACAGTCTTCGGGGCATTGTCAAACATCTGGTGGGTCTCTCCGAGGAGGCCATCATGGAGCTGAACCTGCCCACTGGAATTCCTATTGTCTATGAACTGGACAAGAACTTGAAGCCCATCAAGCCCATGCAGTTCCTGGGAGATGAAGAGATGGTTCGCAAAGCCATGGAAGCTGTGGCTGCTCAGGGCAAGGCCAAGAAGTGAAGCCAAGCAGGCAGACTGCTGTCCTGAGGCGCACCCTCCCTGCCCGTCCTGTTCCCCTGCACTGCTCCCCTGCACATGTTACACTGACCACATCTGTAGGCATCTTTAGTTGTAGCTGCAGATGGGGGGCCGGTGGCTCCCATTTTAGCCATTTTGTCTCCTGCACACTCTCTTTCTAGTCTAGTCAGAATGGCACCTCTGGGCCATGGTCCTCAGTCCAGGGCATAGGGAAGACTTCTCATCCATGAGAGGTAGGGACTCCAGGGTTTTTGCTAGTGGTTTGTTTACTAAGGACCTGTCTGAGTAGGAGATAGGGAGGAGCCATGCCAGGTATGACCAATAAGGGGAAGCAGGAGAGCCTAGTCCTGTCGCCAGGAGCCAGTGTCCTGTCCTGTCCAGTTCTGTAGTAAGGGTACTCTAGCTGTTGCAGTGGAGGATGACTGTAATCCACATGCTGATGAAAACAGTCTTTCTTCCCTCACCCCAGAGGAGCTGGCTCCAGAAGGTTGGGATCAAGCCTGAATGTTTACGTGCTGCATTTTCTTTTACAAAAGAAAAAAATACATAAAAGACAAAACACCTTCTAGGGTTTCTGGTGGCAGTTTGAATACCACGTGAGAAAATAAGCCATTCCTCACCCCGTGGGGGAAAAGGCTCCTTGACTTCTTAGGGCTTGGAGTCCACCCTGCTGTGTATTTAAGAATCCGTCCCCTGCCTTACTGTTTACGGCAGTGAGATGCCTATAGACCATGTCCAAATGTGTCTCCACTGTGTTTTCTGAACCATGTTCCAGTTGCTGGGCCATTGCCACTGGGGCTCAGAACCCAGTTTGAACATAACTATACTCTTTTTTTCCAGATCAGTATAATAAAGGAGTGCTGTGCAATAAAAAAAAGAAGAAATTGAGATGTGTAAAAAGGTTTCTTGAGGGGGAGAAGGATGACACCCTGTGAGCATTTAGTTTTCTGCCCTTTCTGCTGCATCACATTCTTCTCCTGCACTGTCTGGTGTTCATAATGTTAAGTTGTCCCTAAGGAACTGCATGATGAGGGTGCTGTCTTTGAATCTTCATTCAGTGTATCAAGTTCTGCAACGGCCTCATCAAAAGTGTATAGGCAAGCTCTGAGTTATTAAGGATCTCATAGTAAAGTACAGAGAAGTTGAGAGCCAGGCCCAGGCGGATAGAATGTGTGGGTTGCATCTCCTTTTTGCTTATATCAAATGCCTCTTGGTAAGCTCCTTGGCAATTATCTATCATTTGTTTTCGATCATCACCGCATGCTACTTAAGCAAGGTACTGGAAATAATCTCCCTTCATTTTCAGATCGAATGCCTTACTCTCTGGATTAGTTGCATTGGCTATTAAATACTTATCCAATAATTCCAGGACGGTGGCGCAGATGGATCTCAGCCCAGACTCCACTTTCTCCCGATAGTCCTTAATCACCTGCAACTTCTTGTCGGAGGTGTCGGTTTTCTGCTTGATGCTCGAGATGACCCTCCAGGCGGACTGGCGGTCCCCCGACCACGTCCTTATAGGCCACCGACAGCAGGTTGCGCTGCTCGTTGGACAGCTCGGGCCCCCCCTGCTCCGTCATGGCCTTCATGCAGGTGGCCATGTTGTCGTAGCGCTCAGACTTCTCTGTCACCTTCGCTTTCTGGATCAACTCTGTCTTCTCCACGATGGGCTGGCGGCGTGCGGAGATGGGGGAGGAGTGGGTCTGCAGGGGCCATGGTGCTCCGGGACGGGGATGGGCGGGAGAGGCGGCCCATTATGTTTTATAAAATTAATCACTATAGGACTGTTCTCACCATTACCCTGTCTTTCTAGATTCCTGCTGGATCTTTCTTATCTCATTTACTGCCCCCCAAATTGTGAAACTCTGTGATTCCACCACTACCCATTCTCACCCCTCATCCTTTCCCTCTTTGGATTCCTACACATATTTTACTAGTTATCCTTCTATTTTTAAAATAATGGTCTTACTCAGTGTTTGTCATTTTTTTTTTAAAAAAAACATTACTTTTACTTATTTACAAAGTTTGAAAACATTGTTTTTCACAAAACATCCTTCCCATTTCCTTCACCTTACCCAGTATTTGTCCTTATGATACTGAGTTAGTTCACTCAGCTTACTGTTCTCCAGTCTCTCTCAAATTATGTAGTATTTTTCTTAATCACTGCTCTTAGTGCTACATAGTATTCCATTATGTGAATGTATCACAATTTCTCAATCCATTTAGTTGAGTGTGAACATTTGAGCTATTTCTATGTTCTTGTGATGGTGAATAACTCTGCTATAAACATTGATGTAAAGTTTCTGGTTGTGTCCCAGTTTTAATTTCTTTGGGGTATATTCCTCATAGTAGAATAGCTGGGTCATAGAAAGTTCCTATATTCAGCTTTGTTTTTTAAATAAAACAGGTTGGCTAACCTTATTGTCTCTGACAAATCTACTCCCATTACCCCAGTCACTGAATTCATGGTGCCCCTGTCCAAGAACTGGTCACTCCTTGCAACATGCCCAAAGTATGTCAGCCAAAGCTTTAGAATCCTTACCTCCAAGGAGGAGCCTGGTTTAACCCTCTCTAGAATAAAACTATTTATTCTAAAGAGCAATGATGTCAGTCTAAAGACTAAGGTGTGCCTGATCTAAGCCATGGTCTTCTCAGTTTGCTATGTATTTGAGAATTGGACAATGATTAAGGATGACAGAAGAGGAACTGATGCCTTTGACTTGTGGTCCTGGACAAGAGTATTGAACATACCATAGAGTATTAAGAGAAAAAACAGGTCTGTCCTGTAGAAGGTGAAACTAGAGTGCTCTTTGGAAGTAAGGATGGTGAAATTCTGTCTCACACACTGTGGGCATGTTATCAGGAAAAATCAGCCCTTGAAGAAGGACATAATTCTCAGAAAGGTAGAAAGTCAGTGCAAGAGAGAAAGACACCTGAATGAGATCGATTAGCATAATGAGATGGATTGGCATAGTGACTGACAATGGGGCGGGTGAGTTAGAGATGGTGAGTTTGACTCAGGATAGGGCAAAGTCCAGAGCTATTGTTCATAGGTTCGTTATGCGTGGTATTCTTCTCCAAAGCACATAACAACTATATAGAAAAAAGATGGGCAATCTCTGCCCATGAGATTTACTGCCTCTGAAAACTCTCTGAAGGGTCAATTATGACTCGATGGTACACAGCAACAAGAAGTGGCTTCAAGGAAGAAAGATGGGTAATCTTCCCCTTGTACAATTTACAGTTTCTGGCAAACCACTGGGGAGTCAGCTGGGGGTTGGTGCAGCTCAATGAAGTTATATTCATGCATCACTCTTTGTGGTAGGAGTACAGGGTGAATAAGACATATTATCCCAACTTATTTTACTTTCAGGAAGGGAAAAAAGCCAATGAGTCTATCAATGAAATAAAAGGGGGGGGGAATAATGAAGGCAATTATAAAGAAAGGTATGCCTTGTGGAAATTTTGGATGCAATTCCTAAAAGGTATGAAACATTTAGAATAGGCAGGTGTACAAGGACCAAAGTTTACTAAGTGGTTCTCTGAACAGGATGGAATCAGAAATGAAAGCTCCCTGCTTAGAGGACATTGAACTTCTTGGAAGGGTGATGAGAACATCTGTAAGTGGATAATCCTGATGATTGGCCAAAACCACCATGAACAAAACTAATGCCACGGAGTGGTATGTGAACAACATTAACATGGGAAACATTGTCACACTTTAAAAACAGATAAGTGGGATTTTTAAAATCTTGAGAGTAAAATAGTATTTTTTATGGATTATCCTGGACAAAGCTGTCACTTGTCAGTTTGTTGTACTGCAGGAGCCAGTGTGTTACTGTGATAGTGGAAGCTGAGTATCTGCAGTTTCAGGGGGAGATTCCAGACTAACATAGAGTAGGAAGAAAGGGCTAGAGAAAGCCTTTCAAAAATTAACATGTGAAACCCCTATGAATTCTAAGACGACATTATTTGATTTGCTTGCTTGGGCATGTTATCAGGGGGTCCATCTCTGGAGTGGGGCATCGTGTTTGATGAAGCAGAGACTCGTAGTGAGATGAGTCAACATACCGGCCAGGAGAATGGACTTATAGACCCTGGTATGATTGTGGTTGATACAGGGCCGGACAATGCTCCCTTCTCTACCTCAGATTTTAACAGAGTTGGAGTTGGGGCCAATAACTACTATCTTTATCTCATTTTAAAAGAAATTCATTCATCTAAAACCCCACTGCATGCTGAGTGCCTTGCAGGCAGTTTGCATGTAGAAAAAAACAACCCCAAAACAAAAACAAAACAAATTGGCTTAGAATTGCACTTTTAGAGCACAACATTTTCCAAGTTTTGGCACTGCCTATACTTTTATGAATGGCAAAATGTGGAGTTGAATTAGTACCAGATTTCTCTTGTTGGGGACAATCTCTCCCTTAAAAGCCTTTGACGTTATGGTCACAATGCTGAGTTCAACATGTTTGTAGCACTATGGCCTTGGGAAAGACACTTTAATGGCTTTGTATGCATGCATGCTTGTCTCTCTATAGCGCGCGCTCTCTCTCTGTTTCTCTCTCTCTTTTATGTGTAAAATGAATGGAATGGTTCTTTCCGGCTCATCTGGAATAGCAATGTACTGCCCCATCTGGAATATGATCAGAAACACTTCAGTTATATTCACTTCAGGAGAACCCCAAAGGGCGAATTAGGGTGGGTGGGGGAAACTAATGAAGTAGAGTTGAGAAATGGTTTTTGCTTCTTGCTGTGTCAGCAATTAGGTATGTGCCCTTTTTCTCATTTGCAAAGGGGGTCAGTTAGACCTGACCTGCTCACTTCCCTTGCTCACGGAAAGGATCAAAGGAAGCAATAAATAAAATGTCAAAAGGTTGACTCCAATTTAAGGACCTTTTTTCCTAGTGATTGCTACATCAGGCATCAGATTCATCTGGAAGGGGTATTTCTCACCTCCTCCCGGACTCCATGTTTGGGGA